GAGATCAATCCTCAAGTGTTGTTACCATTTGATTTCCTGCTTTGTTGCCAGATTTTCATTTGGAATTTTCCAGATTTTTAGAGAATTTTTTGGAATGAATTTGAAGGTAAAATTTTTTAGATATGTAGAGTTTTGAATTGAGAGTTCATAAAAAAAAAAAACTTGAATCAAAACTCCTAAGAATTGAAGGAGATTTGATGCAAAAAACATAACTACTTCAATGAAAATTTTGCCAAATAGATTTGTGCAATCAATGAAAATGCATGAAATTGAACAACAACTTAAAGGAAATGAACTTTTATTTATTGAATCTTAAAGTGCATATAAAATAAAGGTAAGAAAAGTTAATTTTGCTAGAAAATTAAAGAAGTTTTCTCCTAAATAGTTTTCTAAAAGAACAAGGAGAAAATTGCTAGAGAAAAAATTAACAAGAAAATAAAATACAAGAAATTAAAAAAAATCTAAAAATGCCAAATCCTCCCTCGTTTGGTTGGCCATCTTTCCTATTATAGGCCAAGGATGATATGTTCTAATGAGTCAAATTACAACAAAATGTCACCTAGGATGCCTCATATTCTATATTTTTCCATGTTATCCAAGCTTGCTTGTTTGTTTCTCTTCACTTCATTTTATACTTTCATTCTTTGATATTTTAAGCTTAAAAAAAAAATAATTATAACCAATTAAAAGCCCTTAAATTGCCAAAAAAGTTGTTGCCCGTTGGCTTTCCTTTTGAATCCAAGAAATGGCACCAACTATCACTTGATCATTACCAAATGCATCTAATAGTTGAGCTTGGTTTCTTGTCTTCACTTCAAGTGCCAACTATAGATCCAATTCTTCTTCAAATTTGAGTTAAACGAGAGCTATTTAATTATCACTTTAGCCTTATAAAATTTTAGAAATTTTCAACTCCAATTGTGGCTTTTAAACCACACCTATGCATTAACACCAATCTAGCTTATGCAACTTTACTACAAAAGTGATAAAGCACTAATGAGCTATTAAGGATATTTAAATAATGAAAATAGGAAGAATAAACTTGAATTGAAGTTCAATTAAGCTTGAATAAGCAAAGAAAGTAATGAAGAAAAGGTAGATAAAATCTCTCAAGTGGCATTGAAGCATAATCACACTAGTTTTGACCAAATAGAGCTTTTTGTACCAAAATGCATCCAAAATGATTCCAAAATCTATAATTTTCCTCTTTTCTCATATTTATACTTACATATTGAATATTTAAGCAATTAAGAGTATTTTTGCTAAAAATTTCAAGGAATAAGCAAATATTCATTAGAAATTACACTACAAAGATATGAGAAAATATTAAAATTTTAGTGCAATCACTTCCACATGTTCCTCTTCAGTCTTTTCAAAATCTTCTTCAACTAAAGTTATCATCTTGTAATTGGACACTCAAAACCATATGTCCAAGTCTTTGGCACTTAAAATGCCAATGGGATTATGTGTTGGCAAAACCAAGTTATGAATTGTAAGAAGTGACTTTTCCTACTTTAAGGGCAACTTTGAAAGAGTTTTAGTTGTAGCACTAGCCTTGGGTATGTTTCCCTTATTGGTGTAGCCTTTTCGCATGCCAAACCTTGAACTATTGCCAAATGTTTTCTTTTGCTATTTTTTCATTTAAAGGGTGAGCTTGCACATATCATTGAATGTCCAATATGAGTGTTGCTACACCACATAGGAAATCTCATATTTTAAGCAGCCATGGTAGCATACAATGGTCTATTTTTCTTGTTTCATCAATTCACACTTTAACATAAGATGATTAAATTCTACCGTTGAAAGATCCCTTTGTTTTAGATTATAGAGTTTAAGGAAGATGTCTTGATGGAAATCATCTTAAAGGTATTTATTTTTTAATTTTTGCTTCATATCCTATGATGCAATCTTGTGTCTACCTTTTTTTTTTTCTTGTTGCTTATTTAAGTTTTCCAATAAAAATGAGGCATGTTTTCGTAGTTTGATAGTCACTAACTTGACCTTATGGTGTTAGAAGCATTATGGTACTCAAAGATGCGTTTCACTATATGAAACTAATTAAGGAACTTTTCTAGCAACATTTTTCCTTCAAACATGGAAATCCCCATCTTTAGATTTAAATAGTTTTGAGTGGGCTAGTTTCTACAATATAGTTTCTTGCATTTCATAGGTGAGGTGGAGTGCTATCATTTGAATTGTGGCTATTTGCATAACAAAAAGGGTTGACTTCATCATTGTTGTCACCATTCTTTTCATCATGTTGTCTAGCCTCCTTTTCATGTTTTTCATGAAGGCATAGCTACCGTTAGAGGTAAAAATATTTGCTTTTCCATCTTTTAAATGATAGTATCTCTAGGGTCTGCTTTAGGGGTTGTTTCAACCTCAATTAACAGGGTTTGATGACGATGACCAACCATAGTTTTAATACCAATGTGATTCCTACAAAAGGTTTAAATATTTCAAAGTATTGTTTGAAATAGAAAACACACTAAAGCAATGCAAGGAAATTGAGAATAATGGGAATTATGTTTTATTGAATGAAAAATGGATAAAAATTTAGCACGAAGATTAGACATGAATGCACATAGAAACACCACCCTAAGAACTTTAATTAAGGAAACAAAACTAAATAAAACTCACCACTCTATGAAAACCCATCAATGAGATATAGAGTTAAAGGTTACAGTCTTAAAAAGACTGTAAAATTAAAATAACACTCAATTTGGCCTATGTTCTAATTAGAAACCAAAAAATAAGAAGAAAATTTTGGAACATCCCTCTAAACATAAGAAAATCTTATTAACTTCTTATTATTGTGATTAATGAAATTAAAGAGCTTGATCACAGCCTTTGAATGCCAAATTTGCATATGAATTTAAGAAATCTCTATAGAATGCTTAATTGTCAAATTTTGTCTCCAGAAATCACGAAAATAAGTCAATCCCTTAAATATGAAGATTGCAATTGAATTTAAAGAATCATAGCCAATGCAAAATCAATCTCCATTTATGTAGCAAATGTGAAATCAATCTTCATTAATCTAGCTAATTTTTGAATAAATTAGTTCATATATAAGAATTAATTTTTAATTAGAATAAAAGAGTAATATGCTAACATAAAACACAATTGATAAGGTATGCAACTTAAATGTTTATGTGAATAATTTATATTTTTCACAATAAGATATTAATTTAATTTTAATTCTCCATCAAATAATCTTATTTACTTAATTATTTAATTCTAAAAATATTTTAAAATTTTAAAAATTAAGGTTATTTAAATCTTTCTAACTGTTTTATTTGAATTTAAATCAAATAAAACTTATCTCATAACTTGTAATTTTCAAATGTTTTCTTAAATTTCAATTTAGATTAAGGCATTGATCAAATCTTTGCAAATATTTTCAGTAAAGTTTTTATTTAGATAAAGGCATGATCAAAGTTTTAAATCTCACGCACCATTCGAATAATTTATAATTAAAATATTTTTAAAAGATTGCATTTAATTATAACTTTAAAATTGGTTTAGTGAAAATATATATTTTTATTTTCTTTTAAATAAAATTTTAATTTTTGTGAAAATATTTGACACGATGCATTAAATGTTAAAGTTTTTAACACTATGACCGTCCAAATATTATCCACATTTATTTTTTAGTGTTTTAATAGATAAAACTATTATTTTAAGTTAAATTATGTCAATACGTTTTTATTATTAAATTATGAGAAGAGATCCACTTACATCAATATCAGTATTGCTTCTTTTTTTTTTTTTTTGACTCTTTGATCAAAATGATTAAGATTAAAAATATTTTGTTAGTCCAAATAAGTTATAATTTTAATTTTGATTTAAAATAAATAAAATATAATTCTTACACTGATGTAAGTGGATCTCTACTCTTAAATTACATTTTTTTTTCAATCTTTTAAATTTATGTGTTAATGCATTATTCTTGACACCACCAATTATTTGCCGTTATAAAATTGTTTATAAAATTGAAAAAAGAATAATGTTTTTTTTCTTATATGAACATGAAAATGGATTTTTTTTTTTGCAATTTTCATAATTTTTATGAACATTATTCTCAAAACCTTTTTAAAAAATATGATACAACTTACAATATGTTCTGAAATTAAAAAAGTTTTTATGAGATTTCACACCTAATTTCACACCTAATTCCACCATCCAATTCATATGTAATATTGATATTGAATTAATTTGATTCGGAAGTCTCAAATCAATTTCTTTTAATTTAGATAAAACGCAAAGATTTATTTGATTTTGCACGTCTAAAAGTTATTGTCAATAAATGAGTCAATTTACATTTTCAAATATTCTTGATTTGGCAAAAATCAATCGCTTTTTCAATTTTTTTTTAAAATAAAGGTTTGATCTTTAACAACACAAGAAAATGAACATATCTATTTTTCAGCATGTAAGTTGCAAATAAAATATGAAGAGCAAAAAAATGGAGATAAAAATATTTAATAATTAATAATTCATATACATTATTGGAGCACATCAATTCATTGTTTATTTCAAATACAAATAACTTATCTTTATTTTATATATATTTGCAAATGTATAAAGATTACTAGGAATAAAGATAGTCAAAATTGAAGAAATTTTAGTTTTACTTAATAGAAACTTTTATTTATTTTGATCATTTTTCTTTATAGTTAATATTGTTTAATATGTATAATTTTGTCACTCTTTAGTTTTTTTTTTAAATGTTAAATTTTTTAAAACATCTTAGTTGAATATATAAATTATTAAAATTCAAATATAATTTGAAAAGCAACTGATTTTTATTTATTTATATATGTTTAAAAAAAATAAAATTATTTCATGCATATTCAAAATTAATTTTTTCCTCAAATTCAAGAAAATGAAATATGGATAAAAGAAACAGACAAAAAGGCAATAATGTATATCTTAGAGACGTGATTTCTTTTTCTAGCCTGCCATGATCAAACCTCTTGAAATTAGTGGACCGTCAGCATCCACGCAGCGAAGTTCCAAAAAACAATTAAACTTACGTTTGAATTCTCCACAACTGCCAATATTTTATAGATCAAAGAGACCAATTCTTGGCCTGTGAAAGTTACTAGAAACAAATCTGTGCAATGGAATCCTGAAAGCTGATGGGTAGCTCAAGCGAGCACATCGTAATGCTTCCGATGATGGCTCAGGGCCATCTTATACCATTTCTAGCGCTGGCAAGAAAAATCCACCAACTAACACGCTTCAATATCACCATTGCTACTACCCCTCTCAATATCCAATATCTTCGATCTTCAATTTATGAAGATTCAAGCCCCACAATTGAGACTGATTCTTCTGGGATCCATCTCGCCGAGCTGCTCCCATTTGGCAGCGTTGTTGATCAAAGCAAGCCCTCGAACACTGATCTCAATGCTGAGAATTTGCCATTGGATCGAATGGCAGAGATTTTTAGCTTAACGACGAGCCTTGAAGCCCCATTTCGTCGATTGTTATTGGATATCAATAAGAAAGAAGGCAGGCCTCCCCTTTGTACAATATCAGATATTTTCATGGGTTGGGCTGTGGATGCTGCCAAGAGTGTAGGCACGGTCAACGTTACATTTATCTCTACTGGTGCATATGGCGGTTTGGCTTATTTCTCGTTGTGGTTGAATCTTCCGCATCGGCAAGCAGATTGTGAAGAGTTTACTATGCCGGGTTTCCCTGATCGGTGCCGTTTTCATATCTCACAATTTCATAAATTTATTAGAATGGCCGACGGTGCTGATCAATGGTCAAGGCTTCTGCAGCCACAGATTTCACAAACATTTCAGTCTTTTGGGTTTTTGTGTCACACTGCTGAAGAAGTTGAGCCTCATGCACTAGAATGGTTCAGAGATTACATAAAGCTTCCTGTTTGGGCAATTGGTCCTCTTTTGCCCACGACTATGGTGAGAAAGTCATCGTGTTCCGGTTCTAGTATCTCCAAACATCGAGCTGGAAAAGAACCTGGAATTTCTCCTGAAAGATGTGTGGAGTGGCTTGATTTGCAGAGTCCTGATTCGGTTCTGTATGTATCTTTTGGTTCACAGAACACTATTAGTCCTTCACAAATGATGGAATTAGCCAAGGGTTTGGAAGATAGCAGGAATCCATTTATTTGGGTCATAAGGCCTCCACTCGGTTTTGACATGACAGGTGAATTTAAAGCAGAATGGTTGCCAGAGGGATTTGAAGAATGTATCAGCAAGAGAAAACAAGGGTTGCTGGTTGAAAAGTGGGCTCCCCAGTTGGATATTTTGTTGCATAAATCTACCGGAGCATTTCTCAGCCATTGTGGCTGGAACTCAGTACTTGAGAGCTTGAGCCAAGGAGTACCGATTATAGGATGGCCATTGGCAGGAGAGCAGGCCTTCAACTCTAAGATGTTGATGGAAGAAATGGGTGTCTCCGTGGAGTTGACAACAGGACATGATAGAGCGATTGAGGCGAAGGAGGTGAAAAAAGTGATAGAAATGGTAATGGACAAGAATGGAAAAGGTGGGGAGATGAGAAAGAAGGCTGTAGAGATTGCTCACAAAATAAGAGCAGCAGTTGTCGAGGAAGGAGGAGACCAAAAGGGATCTTCCATTACAGCATTGGAGGATTTTATTTCCGCCATTCTCACAAGGAGATTCAGCTAGTAATGAAAATTAGACTAGTTTTTAATTATGGGGTTACTGTATCCAGCAACAAATCATTGGCAAGGAACTTCAGCGATTCTCTGCCGCTAAGTTTATTTATGTACTGTTAATCAAAGCATAAACTGTCATGAGCTGCTTAATTGTTGTTTTAACCCATAAAACTTGATCATTGTCGAATTTTATGTTAAATACGTGCCAAAATCAAAGAGGGATAAAGATTACGGGACGGAGGAAGTACCATTTTCACTAAACTATTCAGGAATCTTTAGTTTGCCAAATTTAGGATTCTTTACAGATATTTTATTTTCGTACAAGTGAGTTTCTTTTTTTTTCTTTTAAAGAATAGTATCAACAAGCGTTAATATAGCCCAAAATCTAAAACTCTCAGCTCGCTGAGGTTTTTTCAGGTTCATGGTGAATTGTAAAAATTATCTCATTATTGCCCTCAATAATTGACATTTAAAGTCCATTATAATCTTCAATATTATAACAACTTACATCATAAACCAGCTTTCAAATTGATATGCACAAAGCATTCTAAGCCTTAATGGTTGATACTTAGATGGCAAAATATCAAAATATCACTTTATACGAAATAGAATATATTCAATTACTTTAATTTATTTTTAATTGAGTTTTTTTCCAAATTATTTGATTTTATGTAACCTATGTATGTTAGTTTGGTAATATTGTAATTATATGAAATGAAATAAACTTTGACATTATTCTTATTTTCAGTTGATAAATTATTTTTTATTCAAAAGACAATAATTAGTATATTAAATTTTGTTAGCTTGTTATAAAATAGACGATGTTTGAGAAATGCAAAGTCATCTAGTATCGTATCAATGACATTTACAACTTATAATTGTCGTTTGACGATGTCTATTATACAAATAGTCATCGATTGTATACATATATATTAGGGGTGAGAAAAAAATTGAAAATATAAAAAAATCAATTTGAAAATTTAGTGTTTGGTTTGGTTCATATCTTTTTCTCTTGTTTGGTTAGAATTAAGTTTGGATATAAAATATATATTAGGTTCAAACCGGATTTTAAATTAAAAAGTGAAAATCGAAAAAATTTGACCCAAATTGAATTATATAATTTTTATTAGCTTTCATATATATTTTAAAATTTTAAAAAATAAAATAATTATTTATACCTAAATTTATTTAAATATATTAAAAATCATATTAAAATAATATATCAAAACAAAAGAATTAAATTTAAAAAATAAAAGAACCAAATCAATAAAATTTGATTTAAATCAGATCATATGAAAGTTCGGTTTGATTCAGATTAAGTTTTCAAAATTCATAATTTTAAATATTATCCAAAAAAATTAAAAATGATTATCACCTCTAATATATTTATATATCTATATATATATATATTTATTATGTTTTCGAGTATTTAGGTTGTTTTCTTATTCTCTCAAGCCAAATCGAGATCTAACCCAAACCTTTTTTGTTTTAGTTGAAATTGCAGGGCTTAGTCGTCATTTATCTTCAATCACTATGCCTAATTATGTTATTCTCAATTTTCAATTTTTTATTAAGAGAAGAGTATACACCTCAACCAAATTTGTGCGTCCCTTTGATTTCTTTGTTTTTAGTGCATCTTCATCAACATTCATTATATCTTCGGACATTATATACGTACTGTTAAGATTACAGACATTTAACAATAACAAATTATTTATCATCTATAATATTTTAAAAACACAAAATCCCTAACAATAATGGTTCTTAATGTCCTATAGCTTTGGATTTTAGTATCACAAAAAATAAAAAGTTAGTTCTTACCTAAAAAAATGGCGATGACGATGACAATGAAGGTGGTGATCAAAACTTGCAAAAGAGTAGACGACAATCAGAGGAGAAAATGCAGGGTGAGACAATCAGTCAACGAGAAGAGTAAAAAATAAAGAGAGAAGAGAGTGATTTTTCACAGGGAAACTAAACTAGACAAATAATTTTTGAAATGTCAAATATCTAATTTTATGGCTACGATTATATAAGATGATAGTTTATTGTAAAAATTACCGTCAAATGCTAAAATAAATGATGTATGGACCATCAACTGTCATCTTTTCACTAGTTAGATGATGTTGGGTATTTTCAACTGTCATGTTTTTGGATTTTAAGTTTTTTTTTTTTTTCAAACTAACATGAAATAAACAATATAATAATTACATGTTATATTTATATATATAAACTTGTTCGTTGAGTAGTGCACATCTAACGAGATAATAATTCAACTAATATAACTGACTAAGCACGCATATTGAAAACACTTTAATTATAGAAGCTAAAAATTTAGACTACAACACAGCATCGTGGTTTTTGAGAAGAATGTTTCATTTGTGAATGGGACCGTTCTAAGGAATACCAAAATCAGTTTTTAACTATTGTAAGACATAGAAATCTATCAACTGGCAACCATTTTTTAAAGGATGTTTTAGAGGAGAACTTAGGTTGGACATTGGGTTAAGCCCTCTGAAGTAGCTAGTATTGTTGAATATGTCATATATCCATTTTAAATCACTAAGATCTTGCCAATATGGATTGATTTGTAATTGGCTTATTTTAACAAAATCCATAGGGTCAAAAGTTAACAAGTCTGTCTTTGAGTAGGTTGGACTTGTTATCCCATGACTTATTAGGTATATACTTGTTAAGAAGATGATTTAGAACTTTAATGTCTTCGGGAGGGTATCACCACCAAGGTTTCTTTTAAAAATGGAGGCGATTCTTCTGGTATCTGAGGGATGTAAGACCTGTTAAGTTTACACAATCATTGAAGAAGAAGTTTGTACTTAATAGGGTAGACAAAAGATCAGGTACAGTGAGTACGAACTACAGTCATATATAACTGTGAAAGGCTTGTATGTGACAGTGTTTTCACTATCAATCTAACGTGGTTTGTGGAAAAGAATGATAATATAAACACTTTTAGAGAGGTGCTTGATGGATTGGATCCAAAAACTCATATGTTTAAACCACTAAAAAAAGATTTTAAAGTTGTGTGCTGAAGGGATGCCATTTGCATGAGGAGGAATGGAAGCTCTTTCCAAATAGCTGAGATCTTGGATGAGATGTGTAATTTTAAATTCTACAATGGTGTAATTTTGGCAAACCTACCAACAATGGTGTAATTTTGGCAAAGGTACCATAAGAAAGGTAAAACTACCTTTGGGAGTAATTCCATGAATGGAATGTTATATAAGTGGAGGAATGGATATTAATTGGGGATGGATTCCATTAGGTTAGATTCCATGATCAGCACAGGATTGTATAAGAATGGACTAATATCTATACAACAAATCTTTGGCTCTGAGATCAAGAGTTTTCTTAGCAATGAGCTGTTTGAGTGCTGTAAAGGAGTTGGTAAACTGAAAAGTTTAGGTTATCCGGCAAGTCAAGTAGGTTTGGAAGGGTAGGTTCTTTAGAAGAGGAAGGTTTGAAGACTATTTGAGATCTTAACTCTTAAAAAGAATGCCGTGAAAGATCAAAGAGATTCATCATTGCTATTATTGGAATGATCTTCAAAGGCTTCAATGGATTAGGTCTGGATAATGTCATAATGTATCGGTTTAGGGACTCGATTACTAGATATGAAAAAAAGAGTTGCCACCAACATTTTTTTGGTTAGTTGCAACTGACTACTAAATTAAATTTATCCTTTTAAAGAAATCATAAGTTCAATTAAGTTTTATTAAAAATGATCAATTTTGGTCTACATTATAAGCTAAGTTTAGGAGCACGATTATGCATGGAGAACGACTAACACTTTTACAGCACTCATCCAAGGACGATACTAATTAATCTTGTGTTATCCTAAAATGAACTCAATTAAATGACCTTTTGTTTTTTTTTTTTAATTAAATTCAATTGCTTAAATATTAAAAAATTTCATACGATTTCTCCATCATTCTAGCAAAAATCTTTAAAAACTTTTTCTGACCTCAAGAGTATTTAAGAAAGCCATTCATTTCCTTGAAAAGGCTCCTTCATTGTTTGTATTAAAACTTTATGATCTCACTTAAAAACTTTTCTTTTACAATTTAGTTAAATTTTTTGTTTTTTTATTATAAATGCATATAAACTTTTCACAATTTTGGTAAAATTTAGAAAAAAGAAATCTAGAAAATTTAACGTTCGCAATTCATTCAAAATTTATTGTTGATTCAGGTATTCACCTATTCTTAAATAGAACGAAGGTTCTAAAATGTTAGGCTTTCAATTATTTAATTATCTAATTTCTATTATTTTATTTCATTTTTGTTTCCAAAACAAATATTATTGGAATTTTATTCTAAATTTGTTATCATTTTAATAGAATTTAGAAAGATTTTTATTATTTAGTTTGAATTTTTTTCTTTAAATTTACCATCTTTCAGGTGAAATAGACCTGTTAAAGGGATGGGCTACCCGCTCAAGCCCGAAGGCCTGCCTAAATTGTGAAGGAGTTCAAACAAGAAAACTAAAACCCATTAAATGGACTTGGATACAATTTTTAGACTTGTTTAAATTTCGAGTCGAGTTTTAGATAAAAAATTTAAAACCAGAGCCCAATTCGATCAAAATTCACATATGTATAGATTTTTATTATTATATATATTTGAATTATATATAAATTAATTTTCATATATATAATAATTAAAAATAAAAATTATATATATTTTATTAAACTTAATTTTTATTTTTAATTTTTATATATATGTGAATTAAATATAATCACATTAAATTTAATTTAATCACATTTTAAAATATTTTTAATTATATAAATTAAGTTTAATAGGTGGGTTTGGAATTTATTTTTTTAATTTGGAATGAGCTTTGCGGCTTGAAATTTCAGGTCAAGATGGACCTAGGCAAGCAAATAAACTATTAATACTAAGCATGAATTTGGCTTAAACCTGGCCTGACTCGACCAATGAACACTTCTATGGTGAAATTTAGAAAAGTTTTATGTTATTTATTTTATTTCCTATTATTTTATTATTATTCTGAAGATTTTCAAAAAATAAATTTTAAATCTTGAAAATTTCTTTCTAAATTCCCCATTATTGTAGTAGAATTTTTAAAAATATATTTTATTAGTCAAACATCCGAAACCATTTGAAATTTTTTTATTTCTTTTAGAAAATCATACATTTGTGATTTTTAAAATTTCATCATTAGCATAGTTTGTATTTATTTTGAAAATTTCATGCTTATTTTTTTATTTTGAAAAATTATGACAAT